CCAGTGGGTACAGAGATCTCAGCTGCTTTCAAACCTGTTTAAAACATCAATGCAGACAGTATCTTAAGCCCATTTCTTTGCTTGGTTGTAAATATAATTTGACCACATCCACATAGACCAAGCCCATTCAAAACAAACTCTGTTGTAATCAGTTTGTCCACAGGTGAGTTTAACCAACAATATAGAGACAAGGTGGATGAGGAAATGTACTGGACCACTTCTGTTGGTGAGACAAGCTTTTGAGCCACACAGCTCTCTTTCAGGTGTGGAAAAAGAACACCCAGTGTCACAGCAAAAAGAAAAGTGGAACAGATTGTTTGGCATAAGTCATTAGAGGCCTGTTAATATCTCTGCTGTTACAGGACAAAAATATGGAGTTAGTGTGGATTACATATATCTTAATGTGGCATTTTGCTGGGAGTTCCTATCCTTGATCTTAAACAGAGCACTGTGTGGCTCAAAAGCTTGTCTTTCACCAACAGAAGTTTATCCTATAAAAGATAATATCCTCTCTAATAAAAGATAAAAGCTTCTCTATTACCCTGGGACCAACACAGCTACAACTACACTGCATTTAACCACCACTGTAAATCCTGGCTGTCATCATGGTGTGTAGAGAAATGCTTAAAAAGATATGATAGGGACCCCAGAGACCACGGGTCAAAAGCAGATTTGCCTGAGAAAGGTCCAATCCTGAACTATAAAAGCAAGGAATCCAGAGCTCATTAGTGGTAAGGAGAAACCCCAGAGCCATGGCTAGGTTGAGCTACTCCCTTTTTGTCTGTTCCCAGAGCTCTCTCCTTCATGACTCAGTGAAGTAGTCATGACTATGAATTAGTCATCCCTCCGGATACACAAATTTTTGGAAAAATTGACTAGCTTATAGAGAGCTTAATCCATGTGAGGGACTTCAACCTGTAAGTAAACAAAGGAAGAGAGATGTCTAAAAAAAATTAGTTAGAAAAATCTTCTGATTTTAAAGTGACCATGATATTAACATAGCTGGGGGGACCTGAAGATGTTAGGAATCTAAAATTTGTGACACAAGGGGGCCCTTTTGTGAGGCTATAATAAAAAAAGTGGCTTTGTAAACTTCATATTATGGGGTTTTCTTTTCTCTCTTTGACTTCCTAAGCCTGTGGGCTCACTTTATCAAAAGTAGATTTTTGCTAACAAGTTCCATCTGGCATCAGAAAACCAGGTGGTCTCTTTCTGCCTCCTACATCATTGCCCACAAATAAAGATCCTACAGTCGGAACTCAGCGGTCAGTTCTGTTGGTGATGCCCGAGACAGAGTAGACTTCAGGTTGTTCTCCCATAGTTAGACTTTCAGTGCAAGAGTAAACATTTGTGTGTCACTAATAAAGAGACAGCATGTATGATTCACTTGTGAGCATACGTGACTCAAAGAGACACAGGGACTGATGCAGTGAATAAACAGATGCCATTTTGAGAGTTGCTATCAGCCTACAGTAAATCTCATTTCATGCAGTACTTGAGTTATTAAGGAGGGTCTGAGGGCAAGGGGTTGTGGGTGTTGGGGGTGCAGGAGTCAGGGCTAGAAGATAAGGAGGGGCTCAGGACAGAGGAGTTGTAGATGTCAGAGCAGGGGGTGGGAGCCCAGGGCAAAGGGTGGTGGCGGATGGTGGCTCCTCACCGGGGTTGGCCTGGGAGCAGCGGGGACTGTGCAGCCTGCCTGCTGGCTTGTCCACGAGGGCGGAACAAGCTGCGCAGCACACCCGCCGGCTTCTCCCTGGAAACTATAGCTCTGGATCTCCAAGGGGGAGTATAGTTTGAGGAGGCCAATTCAGCAGCAAGGTGGAAAGATGGAGATCACAGAAGTGACAATACCCATTTAAAATGTCATGAGGGGCTGGAATGTTATAACATTCCTGAGTCACTGAATGGAGAAGTTGACAATGCCCTTGGATTACGTCTGCTGGCTAATGAGTGAGAGCCAAAAGTCAGATGTCTATAACCCACCAGGCCCCACTATAATTAAATCCCCCTCCTAACTCAATAGGATTTACACCATGCAGACATTCTCCAACCATTGAGTAAAAGGCATACATGCAATAACATAATTTCCATTTAGTGTTTACTCAATGCTTTGAAAATACCTTTTAGGTTCCAGGAGTTTCTACTATATATATTAGACAGTTTGTACATCTCTGTATGTGTCCATCTGTCTTTCTGGACAGTCTTAGAGTCCATTTGTTCAAAAATTCCTCCTAAACAGTAAGAGCTAGGACAATGAAATTTGGTATGCAGCTTCCTTTTATCTATATACAGTAAAACCTGCGTTATCCAGAACTTAAGCATCCGGAAAACTGTAGAAACCGGCAATTTTTGATGTGGGAAAAAGAAAAAAAGAAAAAAAAAGAAACTGTTCCTTTAAGTGCTCCTCAGAGGAGCAAGAAGCAGGTACCTGGCCATATAACTACTATCAAATTTCTATTTTTTACTACTTTAAACCACTCTATATACATCTCTAGGTAAGAGAGGGAGGTGGCAAAAAGAACCTACTGTTTTATTTCATCTGACCAGGCATGGTATAGGTCAGACATGCACAACACATGTCCCTTTATCCTCTGTAGCCAGTATTGTTGAGAACACTGCAAGGAAACTTTAGCTTCTGATTTTTCTCCCTATGCAACAAACTGGAATTCTGTGGGGGCAGGCTTATTTGATCACTTTTTGACTATTTTGAAACACCTTGGATTTAAAATTTGCTGTACTGACACCCTAGCAAAACTTGATGAATGCGCAAAATATAAAAAGTCATTTTTGTTACCTGGATGGAGGCATCATGGGTTTGTTTGTTCAATGTCTTCAGACATGGGTTTTGGATTCTGTAACAAAGGGCTATGTTGGACCAGCAAAAGGAGCTTTTACGTGGATTGGTTTACAGGGGAAATCCTTGTAGAACTTAAGCACAAAAAGGAAGCTTACAAAAAGTGGAAACGTGGACAAATGACCGGGGGGGAAGGGGTTAAATGTACACCTTGAGAATGCCGGAGGGTTATCAGGAAGGCGAAAGCGCAATTGGAATGTGAAGGACAACAAGAAAGCTTTCTACAGACGTGTTAACAAGAAGGTGGTGATCAGACAGGGTGTGGGGACCCCCTAATGGATGAAGGAGGTAACCTAGTGACAGATGATGTGGGGAAAGCTGAAGTACTCAATGCTTTCTTTTCCTCTGTATTCACGGACCAGTTCGGCTCCTAGACTTATGTGCTAAGTGACGCAAGATGGGATGAAGATGGACAGCCCTTGGTGGGTAAAGAACAGGTTAGGAGCTATTTAGAAAAGCTAAACATACACAAATCCATGGGTCCGGACTTAATGCATCCGAGGGTACTGAGGAAGTTGGCAAATGTCATTGAGGAGCCTTTGGCCATTATCTTTGAAAAGTCGTGGAGATTGGGAGAAATCCCGGATGATTGGAAAAAGGCAAATGTAGTGCCCATCTTCAAAAAAGGGAAGAAGGACGATCCAGGGAACTATAGGCCCGTCACTCTTACCTCAGTTCCTGGAAAAATCATGGAAGGGATCCTTAAGGAATCCATTTTGAGGCACTTGGAAGAGAGGAAAGTGATTAGGAATAGTCAGCATGGATTCACAAAGGGAAAGTCATGCCTGACCAATCTGATTAGCTTCTATGGAGGAGCATTGGGCTCTGTGGACATGGGAAAGTCAGTGTGGATGTGATATACCTTGACTTTAGCAAGGCTTTTGATACAGTCTCCCA